TTATTTATTATAATTAATAGCGTTTCTTTTTTAATTTCAACATTAGCAATTTTTCAGAATCGTTAATATTTTATAATTCAATTATTAATTTAACTATAATTAAACGCATATTAAGTTTTTACTTATAATAATATAAATGAACAATATTTTATTATTATAATATAATGATGAAAATAAATTCATTGATTTATCTATATTAAAAGTATTTGAATCTTGAATATAATCCAGCTTCTATTTATAATGCAAGATTAGAATTGAATTCTTAATATAATATTTAATGTGTTTGAAATCTACGTAAAAGTATATTTTTCACTTTTGTACTTCTTTGCTATATTGTAAAATGTTATTTAAATCAATGAAAATAATAACTAAAAACTGCTAATGAATAAACTAAAAAAGTTTCAAAGATGACCCTGACTTCGATTCTGTTGTAAAATAAATTATGTAAAAAGCATAGTTAGTGGTCAAGATAAAATTATTTCTTTTATTTCTTTTGCACATAGAGACAGACGTATGTATATTTATGACATCAAATAACGTCAATAACGTTATCATCGTGAAAACTCATTCGTTATGTTAAATATCATACGATTGTCTTAACAAAAAAATAATTCAAGTCCGACCTTTTGTTTAAATTAAATAATCTATATCCGAGAAAACACAATGATATTGAAAATGTTTACAAAATTTACTTTCCACTAATGAAGAAAAGTAATTATTATACTCTGATTTATATTAACTCTCTAATGACTCGGGTTTATCTTAATTAGAAGAACACTTTGAGAAAGAAAGCACATTCTGTTTCTTTCATTTCTCTTTTTTTTTTCTCTTTTATCATCATTTCTTTTTCACTATAACCGAGTTATCGACAAATAACCCGTAGCTTTGATTCCTTCGAGATCAATCTTACTGCCCCCTCTCTCTCTCTTTCTTTAACATACATACACACACACATATATACGCATATATATGTGTTCTTCTTGGAGAAGAATCTTGACAAAGAGGAACCAACCATCCTCTTTCCTCTATCTTCGATTTCTCTTCGAATAAACACGAAAAAAATCGTTAAACGTTCAGTAGTTGTAATAATGCGTCTCCGATTAATGTTATTTGATTAGTATAAATACCATTCGGAATAAAGCACCGGGCTCAGTTGTTTTCCTCGCGATCACTAAGTTCTGTCGTTTCTTTCTCGATTATACTTTTTTCTATATTCATTTACATTTGTTTCTTATTAATTTATTGATCTCTTAAATCCCAACATGGAAACTATAGGTTTGCCTAAGTTTATTTCAAAAAAAAAAAAAAAAAGAAAATAAAAAATAAACAACAAATAAAATTGAAAAATAAAGTATATTATAAACGTTTACTCATCGAACGATTCATTCGTTCACATCAGATTTATTTATGCACGATGTCTTTATTTAGCCATTTAAAAAAAAAAAGAAATAAAGAAAAACAAAAAAATAATAATTCAAACAATTTACTTAAAATAATCTTTTCAGATTCACGAATGAACAGAAGACGTTCCTCGGCCTCGGAAAGGGCCAAGGAATTGGAAGAAATCAAAGGTTTCGTATCTGGTAAAAATATTTTAATCACTGGCGGTGCAGCTGGTTTAGGGTACGCTTTCGTCAATCATTTTCTAAAACACGGAGCAAACGTAAATACGAGTTATTTAATCGGTAGACGATATAAACATTTTTTTTAACGAAAATAATAATGACACTAGAAGAAGGATAATAATAATAATAATAATGTTTCATATGTGTATTTTTAGAAAATAACGATACTCGATATAGACGGAGAAACCGGTAAGAGAATTGCCTTGGGTATTGAAAAGTCATACGGAGAAAAAAAAGTATATTTCATTCAAACCGACGTAGCTAAACACGAACAGTTAATAGGTTGGTTTGATCTCAAAAGATAAAATAAAATATTCGTCTTCTCCAATTGTTTTTTTTTCTTTTTCTCTGTTTTTTTTTCAATATTTCCTACATTAATAATCTTACAGAATCCTTCGAGGAAGCTTCAATGTTAATGAATGACATAGATATAGTAATTAATAATGCTGGAATACTTGACGAACGACGTTGGGAACGTGAAATTGCTATTAACATTGTAAGAATAAATTAAATGAAAAGAAATTTGAATCATATTATATAATAATATATCGTATTGTTGAAGATATCAAAAAAAAAACAAAAAAAGGAAGAATTATTATTTGTTGTATCAGACTGGAATGATCTCAACGGCGATGTTGGCTGTAAAACACATGAGCAGAGAAAAAGGTGGACATGGTGGAATATTGGTAAACATCAGTGAACACATGAACATTGCTAATACTGCACAGCTTCCAGTTTATGCAGCAACAAAACACGCCATTATCGGACTATCGCAATCTCTCGCAGTGAGTTTATTATTTATGCATTGAATCGATTATATTCTCGTTACGTAATTATAAAATCTAAATACTATATTAACATTTTATTTATCTTTTAGGATCCTGATAATTATGAAAAAACAGGAATACGTGTAATCACATTGTGTCCTGGATTAACAGAAACCGGGTTAACAGTTGACAGTCCAAACAAGTTATTATCCAGAGTAATGAAAGCAGATTTCGTTAAGAATTTAGAACAGATACCAACGCAAACGTAAGTGTCATGTTTTTCTTAATATTTAGAAATTTGTTTAAAAGTGGATCCCTGTGGCGAAACTACAAACTCCTTTCCTAAAATAAATTTTTGGTCCTCGGAAACAAAAGACAACTTATATTATATATCACATAAAGAATATTAATATTGAATATTTAATGTTTTATAATGTAAATTACTTTCTTGTCGAGATTTTAAATTGAATACTTAAACAAAATGAAGTCGTAGAAGTAATGTTAATATCGCTAAAAACTTTTCAAACGAACTTAAGAGAAAAAGAAACAAAAATAGTACAGACATGGTAATTTTTGGCTTTTGTTTTCTTTAAATATATTCATAAGATTGAGATTTTATTAATGCTTTTTAGAAAAGAAAATTCTACAAATTCAATAAACGCAAATAGTACGTTTTGTCGAACAGTATACTTTTAATATAATTTAAATTAAGGATAATTTTTTTTTAGTAAAATTAAAAAATACCTCCGAATTATGGGATCTTACGGTATTATAGTTCTGCCCTTTGCTGGATCCATCGATTGATTCTTGATTGAACAAAAATTTATTCTATTTTCCACAGACCATACGTCGTCGCACAGGGTTTGTTAAATGTTCTACGGTTTGGTGAATCCGGTAGCATTTGGGTTATCGAAAGTGGCCGTCAACCTTATGAAATTTATGTACCGGATCCTCGTACTTTGCGCCGACGTTACAAAAACAACAACATAACGTGCGTCGAGAGTAAAATTGGAAAAAATCGTACGACAAATAAAACTTGCGATAATGAAACAAGAACGAGTGTTATTTGCAGTTGACTGGAATATAAAGAGTTTAACGACGACACGTTGAAATAGTGCACATTTTTTTGACATACTTTGTGTTGAGAAACGAAGACGAGAAAAAAAAAAAAAATAAGTGGAATGAATTTTTCTCCCTTTTTTTTAAAACAAGGAAATGTTTTTCGTACACGCCAACTGAGGCGCAGATTCGGGAATAGGAAATAAATGTTCTGAAAATGTTCGGACGCAAGGAACACAATGAGAAATAAATAACTAATAAGATACAAAAAGTAAGAGGTCGATTATACTATTACAAAGATCATACACCGCGTATTATTATTTCATCATTTCAGTATTATTCATAGCATTGGGATTCACAATATCCGCTGTACAAAACAAAAACTTATCGTTGGAAAATCGCGTACATCGTGTAATAATATTCTCCCCACGCGTAATGCAGGAAACTTAAAACATATATCTTTTTTTTTTTTCTTCTTCTTCTTCCTTCTTCTTCTTATTTGTCTACTTTTATTATACACACGGTTTGTGTTTTTCATTATTTTTTTTTTTTGTTTTTTTTCTTTTTTAATTTTTTCGTATTATTATTTTTTTTTTTATTCTCTTAATTATTTATTTGGCCGCACTGCCGATAGACTATGAAGATTTACGACACTTTTTTTTTTTTTCTTCCTTATTATCATTCTTATCGTTATCATTATTACTTTATTATAATTATTATTATCAATACGTTATCATTATCATCATCATTATCATCATGTTCATCATTATTATTATCATCATATATATATATATGTATGTATAACTAAATCTTGGCTTATGTTATGTATACAATTGTATATATGCGTGAATCTCGGCAAGAGCCATAGAAAAATAACAGTCGCAAATAATACACATACTTTTTGCTTCCATCGCATTATTATTACACCGTTATCTTTCTTTTTCTTACTTTTGTTTCTTCCTTCTTCTCCTACTCCTTTTCCTCGCTTAAAGGGCATTAATTTTATTCTCCTTGTTCATCTCATTTTTTTTTAATTATATTTATGAATTTCAATGATGCAAATTCGTCGGGCATACAGATAAATGCGAATCATGATCGAATTGCGTAAAAACAAAATTATATATAATACATACGCATGATTCACAATTGTTCATTAGTTCGATCGAATAAGATATTAATGAATTTTACTTGATACATAAAAATTGAATATAGAAATACAGGTAAACCCAGATCGAGGGAAAAAGGAGGGAAAAGAACAAAAAAAAAAAAAAAAGAGAATGACGCTATCATTTTATCCCTCGCAATCCCCAAACCGTTACATACACACGACAAATATATTTAAATCCATGCTGTTAATTAATAACGACGATATATTATCCAGTCTACTAGCGACAGGTTGCATTCGTTTTCATTTTTTTCTTTCATACTTCTTAAATCATTTTCGCTTATTCCCCTATCCGTCCCCCTTCTTAATTTTAATCATCTACGCGGTACAATCTTTCAATGAGTAGCTTTACGAATGTAGACCAACAGCAGACTCGACGTACGTCACATAGGTATAAAGATTTTTTGTTCTTTTTTGTTTTTCGTTCATTCTTATTGTTAATACCTTCTCGAATATCGCGTCGTTATTTTTTAATTCTTTTTATTTCTTTTTATATTTTTTTTTTCTTTCTTTCTTTCTTTCTTTCTTTTTTCTTTCCTTCTTTTTCAAACACGTAGCACTTTTATCGAAATGGAAGAGTCGAGTCGATGATTATTAAAGAGACCAAAGTCAATATATTTACTGAAATGTTCATATTTTTCCATTGTATCTTTTTTATAATATATAAATCGATAAAACTACATAAAAAAAAAAAAAAAAAAAAAAAAAAAAAAAAAAAAAAAAATAAAAAAAATAAGCGATAATAAAATTTGAAAAATGTTAGGCCACTTTTTTTCAATTACTGGCACAGTTACAAAGTGATTCGCGTTTTGGTCTCTTCGCAGCGATTTTAGTGCACATATATCACTTTCATAAAGTGAATTTGTACATCCAATTTCAAATCATCCATCTCCTTAAGCTTCTTAACACCATCTTCTTATTCATCTTTTGCATTTACGATACGTTTTATCGTTATTTTTCTTTCACTTTTTTGCCAAGAGGATAACGGTTTTTCTTTTCTACGAATCCGTTCGATGGACAATTCTGGTATATAGGACAATATCGATTATATGGTATTTGCATTTTAAACAATTTTCATCACGCAATATTATCGTAATTTCTATATCTTCGAAAGAACTTTCCACACACTCTTAAAACTAAATATTGTTTGTTTGTTTATTTTATCTTCCCTTTCTCTTCTGTTGTAGAAACTTCTAGTCTGTTATCTCGAAATTTCGTCTGCGTATTCAAAAAAGAATAAAACACGCGATAATTTAGTAGCTATAGTAATAACTCCATTCACAGCGTCAGACATTCTTTTACAATTGATAAGTACCAAAGGATATACTTAGTTTCTTTGTAAAATACCCTTCGAAAAAATACAGTGAAGATATATGTGCATATTATTTAGAATTGTACATCTCACAAGATAGTCATCCGTTAAATGGATACAAAAAAAAACATATTCCATAAATCGGGATTAAACGTGTCGTCTAATCTTTACCAAAAGATTTTGTTTTAAAACTTTTATTTTTCGGGGTATCATTAAAAACTGAGTATATCCTATTGGTGTTTATATATATATATATAACTAATGCAAATATAATTATCAGTATATTTTTTTTTTATCATTTTTTCTTCTCTGCCACATCTTTATCGAACTATCTCGATCTACTGAAACACATATACGAAAAGACGTTTGATAATGATTACGATACCAAGGCGTGTAGGAAAAATATTCAACGTCCAAAACGTCACATCGTGAAATAATCGTAAATACAGTGTTCTTTAGAAAAAAACCGAGATTCAAATTTTGAATAATAATACATAAGCGAGTAATTTTCAAACTCAAACTTATAATATTTAGTATTTCTTCCCGATACACGATGAACTACTATCTACTATTATCTGCGCTTTACATTGTATCTTTCATATAGATCTTATTATAAGATTACGTTCTAATATAACATCCTGTTTTTCACTCCGATATCTGTTAGAGAAAAGAACGAATTATAAGCGCAACGTTCTTCTTCCAAGAATACACACGAACAATATGAAAATTCGATTATGTAAATGATCATCAACGATTCCCGACACAAACATATAATTGTATATGTATACGTAGATTTTTATGTTTGGATCGTTATCATTATCTCGAGCTAGGAAGAAAGAGAACAAAAATATATTTCTTCCTCGTAGATCAAACGTCTCTTCTACACCAAAAGAAAGTCTGAATGTGAGAGTTCTGTGCGCCAACTAAGTCACACATGCGCTCATGCGCGCGATATTGTTCTGCGCTAAAATCCCCTTTTATACGACAATCTACAAATTATTATCCGATTGCCGATTTATTCAAAATCATTTTTTTTTTCAGTCCGTATGGGCAGAGCATATGTTGTAAAAGCCTTAATATCTGAAGAATACTTATACATAATGCCGCGTTGTTCGTAGTGTGGCATGTTCCATGTTTTACGCCGTTCCAGTTACAAGACGGTTATTCTGCTGTGACTGAGTGGTAGACTGTTCGTTGGTCGTACGAGCTTGACTACCAGGATTATTATTTTGTTGTTGATTGGCGGGCTTACGATTGATGCCTCGATTACCTCTATATCCACCACGGAAACCAGATCCACCCATATTAGCACCTCTTCCATACATTCCTCCCATACCACGATTGTAATATCCACGGCCGCGGAAGCCACCGCGTCTTGTTGAAGCCACGCCGAAAGTCTCAGAATTCAATTTCCTCTCCGTCCTCCAATCCGTACGCTGGAATCGTCTGTAAATACAATTTCTTTAACCATTGACAACCAGACCCTTTTTCGTTTATCACAAAATTCTATATTTTACTGTGTTTTTTTTTTTTTTTTCAAATGTTAGTAATAATAAATTCAAAATCTTTTTATTGGCAATAAATAATCAGAAGATTTTAATAAACTAATTGATAACATTTACTAAAGTTAGATTCTTAAAAACCTTAGAAATGCTTAAGTCGAAAAGGAGATAGCGCACTGAGCTTGTGATACTTATTAACTGATTTGTTTCTAGAACTAAACAAGTTATAGACATCAACAGTTATACTAACCCTTTACTTCTTTCAACAGCCTCGCAGCTAATGTTATCAAAGAATGACTTTGATTTATCATAATGAACAACTTCCGGTTCTTCCTCAGGTTCTCCTTCTCCTGCTCCGGTTTCATTGCCACTATCATCTTTCTTTTCATTATCGTTACCACCATCAATTTTTGTTTTTGCCAACTGAGATCTACAATAATATTCCTTTATTAATACTTCATACCGATAAATCAATAATAATCAATAATAATCGATAATATTTAAAATAATGTGTATGCGGTGCGTAAACAGGACACTTAAACATTTATTCATGCCTGCATTAAAACCGCATAACTTGCTTTTGCATGATACAAATATTTCCATTTCTTCATATTAGTGAAATGAAAAATTCAGAGTGTTCATGCGCTAGATGTGAAAACATAAAGATAATAGACATACCTTAATTCCTCGAATTCTGTATTAGCTTGCTCAAAATCATAATCGTTATCGAACTTAAGTGTATTTTTGGATTTAGTTGTTCCAGTATTACCAGGCTGATTGACCCTAAAACCACCGCGTCCTCTACCTCGGCCTCGCATATTTCCACGATTCATCCAACCACCACGATTTCCTCGACCACCTCCAGGATGTCCACCTTGTCCTTGCATCTGACCATCAGGTTTCATGCCATCTCTCTTCATATTGTTATATTGTGACATACCATTGCTTGTTTTGCCACCAACATGTCTATAGGAAGAAAGAATATTTAACGATTAAACACTCTTGCTTAATTTATTATTAAATGAAATCAAAATAAATTAACGAATTGTCAATAGTAATTAATCAGTGTCAATTATCCTACCCTTCATGATCACGACATGGTGGTTGAACGGTTCTAATGTTCGGCTTTTCAACATGTTTACCCATGCTACTTTGTTGTTGCTGTTGAGGTTGCTGCTGCTGTTGTCCTACTTGTATGCCTTGATCTATTGTTGGACTTTTTCTAGTTAACAACGAAGAAGTTGGTGTTGTTGATCTTGATCCTCCGCTAATAAGATCAAGGACACCTATAGAAGAAAAAAGCAATTCTTGTTATTAATATACTTCATTAAGTATAACAACAATTGACAGGCCAAAGATTACAAATTTATAGTTATCATTCTGTATGGTACTACAATTTTACTAATATCATTACATTACCATTTAAAAGAATATTAGAATGATAGCAAAAACTACTATAAATTTTAAACTGTTCTTGCTATTTCATAAATCAACACAGCTTCATGCTTATACGCTGCTTAGATAATAATTAATTGCATTGTCAGAGCAAAATAGAAAAATACAGATGCAAAAGTAGTTCCTTCAAATCAAAACAATAATTAATTTGAATAAACTATTACCATTCGTTTAAATATTAATATATTAATACAATAAAATCACATGTATATATATATATATATATATATATATGTGTTCTATTAATATTTTTCTCTTATATGAAAAATATAAATTAAGTCAATTTATTTATGCACAATGAATTACAAAAGTACAAAAAGCTTAAAGATACATGTAAATTAATATAAAAGTGTAAATGTGCACAAAGCAAAAAGCATTTGCATCTATACATTTGCACAATATTATAAAACATGTATTTTGCATAGTAAGAGACTCATTCTAGCACAAAAAATATAGTATATAGGTTCTTAGAAAATGTGGGATAATTTCAATTAAAAGAGAAAGTTAAGCAATACGAATAGGATTTAAAATTAATTCAAGATGTTAAAGAATACTTGCAGTTATTAAAATTATTGAAAGAATTATTATACTTAAAGTTATAGATTACCTATTAAATGCAACCACTTTCCAATATATTCAAAACACAATATAAAAAAGTAAATTGCAGCAAGCTTTTTACCAAACAGGAAGCAGTACGCATGCCATTGGCAAGGAAAAGATCACAGCAAAAACAGTTTACCATCTTCCAGAGATTGGTCTTTTGGTAATGGGTCGACATTGGCCGTCGATAGTGAGTTTGGGATAGAGATGGCATTGGGTTCAGCAGGGCCCAAGCTCAACTCACTTGGCTGTTTATTCAGTGGCCCACGAGGATCTCTGGCAGTAGTCGGCATGCCCATTACTGGTCCCATAGCTCCCATAGTCATACCATATGGAGTTCCATATTGACCACCCATAGGACCCATTTGGCTCATCATCGGATGAGCATAAGTTGGTTGTGGTTGATATGATTGCTGTCCCATAGATGGTTGCACAGTCATCTAAAAATCAATTGCGTTAGGTATTTTTCAAACTAATGTTATATCATGCAACGCACACATTTCATTGGTAGATAACATATAAAATAAATAAGTATTCTGGAAGAAACATGTATGCAATTACCTGAACGATAGCTGGATCATTTGGTATAGAGTTAACATTGTTTACAACTCTGATATCTTTTATATCCGAGCCACGAAATAGAATGTATTCATAAACTTGATTTTGAGGGGCGACAGGTAATTGAGTTTCTCGGTCTTCTGTTCCAAAGGAACGCACTATAATAAAAATAAAAAAGATTATATCATATATATCAGTGAATATAATTTTATAGAAGTATTTTTTAATAATACAAGAATAACTGCATTTATATCATTTGACAAGAATAATGTAATGAAAATAAAAAAAAATAATAAATATTCAAATTTATTGAAAAAGAAAAATATTTTGAAAATTTAAATATAATCTGAAGTATATTAAAGTAACCTTGAATTTGTGTGTTTTCTCTATATTTCAGTTGTAAGTCAATGGCAAGGACATTGAAATATTGTAAACAAAGAAACTAGATATATGAATCTTTCCCCACAATGACTACATATATAAAAACAATTCTTTGAAATATCAAGCTAATACTAACTTAATATAATCTGTTGAAATATTAGTAGGGCATATACATATTTATTTTATTAATTTCTGTTAACGAATAATATTTGTAATATTGTGTGATTTCATGAGAATAGAACAATAACAGATTAAATCTAAATAGAAATATTTCACTTTTAGAAAATTTAAAATATATATATATATATATAATAGATAATAAAAATAATATTTCTCTCTCTGTCTCTCTTTCCCCCTCCCTCTCTCTCACATTATATACATTAAGAATATATATTAAATAATATTAGTATAATGAAATTTAAAATTTAAATCTAACATATCGTCATAAAAGTGATCGTTTGTTTGACCTCAAACAAACGATTTGAAATGATGCCTTTAATGTAGTATATATCTAAAGAGTTCATAGTATACTGAAAAGCAATGAAGTCTCGTAACGTTAATCGTTGTATATATGTAAAATATTAGAAAGTAAAATGAAACCTGATATATCATAGAAATAATACGAAGGCATTGATTAATCGAGAAACATATAAATCACCCGCTATAAGAGTAGCGTTAGGAGGGTGACCCCGGTTGTTTTGCATCTGATCTACCGGACAAATCGAAATCTCGTATGATTCGGAAGCATTTTCCAATTAAACAAATTTGAAGGTAAGGATCGTGGGTAAATTTAAGGTCAGTTTAAGTAAAAAAACAAACGAAAAAGATAAGGTTAGATGGTAGAGAGAGAGGAAGAAAGAGAAATACGAGAGAAGAGAACAAAAAGATTCTAGAAGGAAAAGAACCGGGAAACAGAGAAGCGGCAAAAGTAGGTTTGGTATCCATCTTGATTTTTGTACTCACCATTAGCAAGAGCTATCGTACATTCTTGTGGATCAACGGTAAATAGACGGCCCTCATAACGAATATCCGCCTTTGATATTAAACTTATCTTCGAGCCCAGCTCCGGCATTCCTCCGCTCATCTTGATACGTTTTCTTTTGTACGGTGATCGATGCGATATTCTACGATTCACATTACCGTCTGACGAACGTAGCAGCTGACACCAATGGTTGACGGCGAACTAAGCTGCTAACAAATTGGCGCATGCGTCACGCCCTCTCCCATCATTATCTTCAAACATTGTAGTTAACAAGGTGAAAATCTAAAAAGAATTTCAACTTCAATTTGTTATTTTAACATTTATTTAATAATTAATTACGATCGCATATTGGCTTTACATTTATATAATTATACGTTTTAATAAAATATTCATCATCTTAATATATTTACTTTGTTATTTCCATAATCCGAAAAATAAATTTGAATAAATTAAATATATGTAAAAAAAATAAGTTTGCAATATAATGGAGATATTTCCCATTTTAGCTTTTATTAACAACTGCTTTAATCTTGATAATGCAGAAAAATAATGATTTTGTTTAGACAAATAGTATTTTATTATTTACTTCTAAATTAATAAAAATAGTTTTTATTAATATTTTTCAAGTTTCAACTAATGTAAAACGTTGTTATCGATATAATAAGCAGTAGTTATTCAAATATTTCGAAATTTGAGAAATGTTATAAGGCGGGAAATTCAAATTAATCAATATTTGTCTCTAGATATAAATATTTTGTAAGAAAAATTGTTATTACCGAAGTTAAGTCTTTACAATATAGAAAATTAGGATTTAATGCGAATGAAAATTTAGATTCAATACGATGCAAATATCTTCTTATTTTTAAATAAGATCTTGTAATCCTCTTTATCAAATTGAAGAATTTATCTGTTCGGTTTTCTTCAGTTGCTAGATTGACTAACGCCTTATATACATAGCACCTCTGGCCAAGATGGCGGTTACGTTAGGACGAATTTATAAATCTGGTCTTTTAAAACCAAATTATGGAACTTTGTTCACTCAGGTAAGAAAAATACATATAATTAATAGTCTCGATTAAATATATTGATTTGAGTAATAAATATTATTTTATGTTTAATCATTGATCTTATACACGATTGACATCATCAACCAAATCTCTAGATCTTAATTCGAACTATACTACTTGTCGACTGCTATGACATTTTATTCTTATTATTTAATCCGAAAACCATCTTTCTTATCAATGTCACATAAATGTATTGTATTGTAATAAAAGATATATTAATTTGAGAAGTTTTAAAAGACATTTTAATAGATGTTATGTAATAGTAATCTCTAGAGAAAATCATGATGCTGCCATCATTAAACATGTGTTCAAATTGTATTAAAATATCAAAAATACACGTCAAAAATGATCACATATTGGATAAGTTATTATGCGCATATAAAATTAGGTATAAAAAATAAGAATTTTATTGTAACAATATAATAATAAAGATTTAGCATCTACGTAATTTTATATCTATTGTGTAATTTAATCATGTAATATGTCTTAATGAGTTCATTGTGATTTTACAGATCAATAAATTCTCTACGACAAAAGAATGGTCCAGAAGTCGAAAATTGGTAGGTGTTTTTCTATTTGTCAATAGGAGTTGTCCCTTTACCTTCATTCCTTCCTTCATATTTTTATAGTAAGTTATGACATCTCTTGTTCAGTAATAATTCTTAGATTTGATTCATATTTCTTACCAGAGAGAATAATTTTTTGTGCTCTAATTAATTTATTATATTTATATATATTGTATATTAAGTTGACATATTTATAATTACAGTTAGTGACATGTTTAGGATTAGCAACTGGAGGTATCGGTACTTTAATTTATGCTTTGGAAAATTCTATAAAAGCCGATACAGAAGTAGCTCATCCTGCAAAATATAAATGGGATTTTTATGGAATGTTTAGCTCATTAGATCATGCAAGGTATGCATCTGCATTGCTGTAAAATATTGTGTATATATGTATAATATGGTTTAGCGATTTAACTATATTTATTTAAATTTCAGCGTGAGACGAGGATGGGAAGTTTATAAAAATGTATGTTCCGCTTGTCATAGTATGGAATATTTAGCATATCGTCATCTTATTGGTGTTTCTCATACAGAGGAGGAAGCAAAAGCACTTGCCGCAGAAATACAGGTGATGTACAAATAAAAATCTTTTGTTAAAAGTAGAGCTTATTAAATAATTTATATACTTTATTGTTTCATTTTATAATTAGGTGAAAGATGGTCCTGATGCCACTGGAGAATACTTTATGCGTCCTGGAAAATTGTCAGACTTTGTTCCAAGCCCATATCCAAATGAGGAAGCTGCTAGAGCAGCTAACAATGGTGCTTTACCACCAGATCTTTCACAAATGGTTAATGCTAGGCACGACGGAGAGGTATCTTTTTTCTCTCTTATGCATATCGCTTAATATAATTTTATGACTGCTCTTATCACAAGTATTATTATATTCCTTGATTTATAAGACGTTTAATCTCATTAATTTGCTTATGTTAAATATAAATCTATTTTACAGAACTACGTATTCTCTTTACTGACTGGATATTGTGACCCACCGGCAGGAATTAAACTGCAAGAAGGTCAATACTTTAATCCATATTTCTTAGGTGGTGCCATTGGTATGGGACAGGTAATTTATAATTAATTGATAACAATGTACAGTAATACCATATCCTGTAACGTATCGTGTGTAATTTTTAAATAACCATATATGCATAGGTTATTTACGACGAAGTCTTGGAGTTTGAAGATGGTACTCCTGCTACTGCTTCTCAAGTAGCAAAAGATGTTACCACATTCCTTATGTGGTCATCCAATCATGAATATGACGACAGAAAAAGATATACTATCAAGGTAAAATATTCTTGTTGCTTTTAAATTTAAAGATTATATAATACTGTATATTTGTTACATGTCCATATTTTTTATATAGACTCTTGGAATTGGTACTATACTCCTAGTTGGCATTATTTATTTAAAGAGACATACATGGACTGTTATCAAAAACACAAAATTGCTTTTCGTCCCTAAAAAGTCGAAATAAATCCATTGAAGCATCAGCTTAAAAAAAATGTTCTTGGTGACGTTAACATCAAGGAATGTAATGTAGTTTTATAAATTAATTAATATAATTCGACATTTTTAGCTATTTCCAAATCTGGAAGCTGCCAATATAGCATTTGATGCATGTTCAATTCACTATAAGTCTCAAGTCAATAAACTTGTATATTGTACATAAATATGCAAACAATGTTATCATCGGCCGACATAAATAAATTGTTAAAAGTAATGAAATCTACCTGTAGTTTATAGTTGTGTATGTTAAAAAGCTTTTATTATTAAGTAATTTAATTTAATTTTATTTGAAAATTATAAATATATGTTAAAAAGGAAAATATTATATATATATATATATATAATAATTGACAGAATATTTTTCTAAAGACATTTTTTTTTATTTTTAAGCTTCATTTTATCGACATAGAGTAATAATTATTTAATATGAATTAGATTACACTATTACATTACTGATAGTGTAATACTGAAATACAAAGCTTGATCAGAAGTATGTATAGTATTTCAGATAAAGTTTCATAACATTAGATAATAATTATTCAAATACCTTCGTAATTCATACTTTGGTCTAATTGAATATAATCTAAATGCAATAAAAGAGCATACATATAATGCAAATCGAAGGGGAAAAATCGTATAATTATATTATACTGCAAAAATAATTTATATGATCATAGTTTTCTATTAGCGAAATAAAAAACGAAAATAAAAACGTAACAAAGAAATGTATCCTTGCATATTAGTTTGATAAAAGACTTGTTTTCAACTTGTTTTCAAGTTTGATAATAAGGGATTTACACTTGCGAACTTTGGATCAATATTGAATTTTAAATATGATAGTCATAGTACATCAATTATGAAGCTTATAACATAAATATGTATTTATTAAGCATGTACATATTTTCTAAATGGATTCCCAAATTTAAATATAATCAGAATATACATAGATGTGTATCGCGTTTATATTGGAATGAAAAGGTAAATGAAAATGTAAGTTGCAATGCTTCATAGATTAATGTACTTTTGCTGGGTGCAACGCATATACCATGTATTCTATCTTCTACTCTGAATCAAATTACGACCTTCTATATTTCTGTTATGATTACTTTCCGTTGTTTACTTATTACACGTTTGGTGATCCAAGTAATATAACATATATTTTTTTGTATAAAATAAGAGGCCGTATTTGGACGATGTCTCAATAAACGGACGTCAAAAGTATGTCCACTCTAATCCTGTTTTATACAAAATTTTTGATGAATTAATTTTTAATAATCTAACTTTTGTTAGACAGTTTTCTTAAATCAGATAGATTTTATCTAATTTGGAAAGAATTTTATTTTACTTCTTGCCCTTTAGTCATATCAAAGCGATTATGTTCCAATGAAGATTTCATTTTGTAAACTCCGCTTTAATGTATTTGAATTATAAATCCAAGCTACCTACGTATTACCAGTTAATCAATTTATCAAAATTTACATAGGTTCAGAAATTTTCACAGTGACCCGCCTTTATGATAATTGAGACAACTCCATAAAGTCATAATTTTAAAATCATAAGAGATGGCACTTATTTATAAACAGAAATATTAGTTGGTTTGTATATTAGAGACTGTTTTTTTTTCTTTTCTTTTCTTTTCTTTCCTTTTTCTTTTGTTTTTTCTCTCTTTCATTTAAAAAACTTCAAAGGCATAATTTTTTCTTACTGATTATTATTTTTATTAGACAATCGGTGTATTCAATTTAAGATTCAAAATATGTTGTGTGTGACTTTTTATACCATAATAGCTTGAAAAGTTGGAATAATATATTTTATGAGCACATACCTCATAAGCATCTCAGAAACAGTAAGCGGTAATAATCTCTTAAGATGAGAAAGATTACGGCTATCGTGTAACAGTTTTATTACCTAAAATTACAAATAACTTTTTACATTAGAAACATGCGAACGGTTAAACATGATCTAAAATTTAAAGGACAAACAGCTCTCTTTCTTTCTCGGCTTACCTAAACACAAAATTTATATCCAACTTTTCAAGCTATTATCGCCTTTCTTTCGTAAAGGCATTACATCTTAGCATATATTTCCACCGGGTACCATTTTAGTATTATTTGGTACCTCTATTATTATATCTCTCCTCGTGCTACCATAAAAAGGAAGAGGTGATAAATTTATATGTGGTTAGGCTAAAATGTACTGCCCTCTGGTGGCTGAGAAAGTTTCATATTCTCTTTGAGTGTCATGAGACGACGCAGCTCTTGTAGAACTGTCTTGATTGTGTATTCTCTTTGCCATTTTGAAAGTACTGGTACATTGCGATTATCAACCTTATTGTAAATTACAATATAGATTATGAACCAGAACAAAGAAATTATTGTAACGCTATTATAAGAGAAAACAAGTTTTCAATACTTACAGCTCCGGTAGTGCTATTGATACAATTCATATTAATTCTGCTTAAAAATTTTACACTGGGTGCTTCATCAGGGTATTTCTGACCACAATCAATTTTCAAACTATACATTCTATTTTCATACGGTGTCTAAAAAACATATATTAAATTGTACTAACAACTGCATCCTATTAGATTTAATTAATATCTTATAGAAAAGGTATTGTCAAATAATTGGCACTTACTCTAGGTGGTCCAATTATCATTCCGGTCCAATGTGTCAGCGTCATATCATCATCGTTCTCTAATCCCCAACTAATTGTACCGTCTCCTACACCTTTCTGACCCTGTTCTAATTCCTCCAGCAAACGAAAGTTTCGAGGAACAACTACGAGAAATGTCAATGTAGAGAAATATCCATTAAGCTGAGGGTTGAAATTATAGAAACCAAATTAGTGCACAATACAGGTTATGGCTCAGAGACTTAATGCATGCTGTGATCTTCCAAAAATCTTTTAAGCTTTCTGTTTAAATCGAAGGAAAAATAAACGAAAAAATAATAATTAACATCTCTGATAGATACGAAATATGAGATGACAGTATATAAAAAAACGGGGGAAACGTAGACTTCCAAGATAAATTGACATACATTGGTAACATGACGGGTCCCTAATTTACAGGAAAGAACGGATAAACGTGTATTGGCTTGCGTCAGGGTTGCGTCCAGCTTATCAAGAGAAAAAGGAAGAAGGAAAGAAACAAAAGGAAAGCTAAACAAATAATATTCTTAAAGGTAAGGACGGTCGTAATAAACGACGTTGAAAATATTCAATCTGTACCGATAAAAAAGTTTCAAAGACGGAAAAAATACTCACCTACACCGGTAGTGGGTACCGCCATGATATTTCGTATTTCTGCGAAGCACTGTATTTTTTCCTAATGGGATAATTAATTTAACGCGGGCCAATGCTACTAGTCAATCTCTTTTCGATACACGCGTATTAACTTGGGTAGAGACTTTTCATTACCCAATTAGATGCGGATAAAATCAAATCTTAACTTTCGAGTGAAATTCACTTTGCGAAAATTCACCCAACCTCCGCGAGGTTGTCTATTTCCACAAACTTTCCACACTCTAGAAAGGCTTCCTTACGTCAAGAACGTCAACATCTCGACGAATGTCACGTTTGCTCACCGATGTCGCTCTTTAACAAACTTTCAACTTTCAAACTTTCTCTCGATTTAATAGATCGAACATATTCTTTCATTGTAAGAAAACAAATTGAAGGAAACCGAGTGAATTGAGAAAAAAAAGTAAGAAAATTATTTTTACGAATTATTCGATAAATCGAAAATGGCCGCCCTATTCGTTGCTACGAAAGAGCGGGATTTTTTTAAAATCTTTTTTACGAACCTTTCGGATAAATTTGTCATAAAAAAGAAAGTATATAAAAAAGATCCGAAACGAGTATAATATTGTTTTTTTTTTTTTGTTTGAAATCAAATCAAATGTTGACGAAATAAAAAAAGACAAAGAGAGAATGACCGAGGGGGGGGGCCCGAATTCGAGTAACTACGGCAATGAAGGAGGGAGAAGGAAGTGAAGAGAGAAACGAAGGAAGCAAGAGAAATGGCGTCGAGTTGTTGGTAGAGGGGAGAAAGTCGGTAGTATCGTGCCGGCTGCGCAAGAGCAGCCTGCAAAGGCAGCTTTTCCAATAATGAACAACCCGTGGTAACTGGTAACTGTCAGTCCGCTCGTGGTGCATTTCGTTGACTGTTGTGTGTTGCGCCGTGCTCGGTGTGCGTGCGTGTGCGTGTGTGCGCGCCGTGTGTTGTTTTTATCCGGTGTTTTAACAGAAGAGAGACAAGGGGATGATCCTCCTCTTATAAAAAAAATTGACAACGTAATAAAAAAAATGATAAATAATGTGATTTAAAAAAGAGACGAGGAATTAACACGATTTTCAATTCGATTCTTTTACCGAGATTTCGTGGGCAAAAGAAGAAGAGAGAGAGGATTTAATTCCAAGAGAAAAAAAAAAAAGAAACAAAACGTGTGTTTTCCTGTTGAACGAAAGTACTTGGCTATCGTCGCGCGATAACAAGAAGGGTATGTAGAAACAAAAATTATATTCCTTTAAGAAATGATTAGCTCTGATACTGGCTACTTTGTTTCTTGTATTTTTCTTTCTTTCTTTTTGTTTTTTTTTATTTGTATATTTTGACACCCGTCAGGATACACCTAACCACCCATACACCACCCATCCACCTACCTACCTACCTACCTACCAACCTACCTACCTACCTACCTATCTATCAACCAACCAACCAACCAACCAACCACTGGTGCCCACCATGATAAACAAACGGAACGCCATTGACCTTAAGCTCGCGAGATTTTCCCGTTGAGGATTTTGCAAGGATATGTTTTTCTTCCTAAACTTTCATTAAGATTACATATTTTAACATTTCTTTTCACGATCATTCTCTTTTTTTTTGGATTTGTTTTCTACATCTTTTTACTCGCAAGCGTCTCGTCTCTCTTTCTCTCTCTCTCTCTCTCTCTCTCTCTCTCTCTCTCTCTCTCTCTCTCTCTCCCCCTTTCTCTCTTTCTCTCTCTCGTGTCGCTTCGATCTGCGTATCTCCGGTGTGTGTTGCTATCCGCTCGCTAGAAAATACCCCGGCCTTTCTAGATATATATACTTACTTACTTACATATGTATTTGTACTTGTCTACCAGTAATTCATACGTAGACGTTTTTCTAGACGATCCTTCCTCTCTATCCTTAGAAAAATTAGGTAATGATAAACAATAATTTTGGGGTACGCGTTATATAAACTTAATAAACAACTTAAAAGGGAACTTGGCGCGTGAATGAATTCACGAAAGATTTAGTCAGCTTCATTAGCCGTTATTAAATCCGCAAGATTCGGTTGCAAAGTGTTTGCATTTGAAGTGGCAGTCTGTTCGTTAGCGACGAATTGCTAGTCCCTGGAGCATGGAAAAGAGAGCAAAGCAAAAGGACGAATACGAGAAAGAAAGAAGAAGAAGAAGAAGAAGAAGAAAAAGAAAAAAAGAGAAGTGGATGAGGAAGAAGCAACATTGATTTCGTTTCCATTCCGTATTTGCGTATGCTTTCTATTTACGATATATCATTCAATTTACATTTGTCCATTTTGTAGTTTCAACAAATTCCCTTCATTCTTTTTATAATTGCTAAAATCGATTGATTGATCTATAGATCAAACTCTTCCTAGGCATAATAGTTATTCAAGAAAGTTTCAAACTTTGTTTAATGAGCAATGTCCTAATTGGGAGATCCTTGATTATATTCAACAAGATCATTAGTAAGTCTGTTTTAACGAATAATAAACTATTCATAAGAATCTCTTGTAAATTACTTAGCTGTATTCTAAAAAGTACTTACCCCGAAAAAATGAAAAACAAAAAAATCAATATCGATTTATCAACCCTTTTCAGTTAGAATTTTTAATCGTGATTATACAAAAATGTATTCAACGCCAAATCGATACGTATCAACCTTTGAATACAAATAAAACACGAATTAAAAAAAAAAATATTTGTTAAAAAATATTAAATTTATATCGATTTATAATTTGAATTATATAATTGATGATAGAAGAACAATGAAGAAAAATGATAAAACGTGACGCATAATTAAAATATATTTGTATTTCATCGTATAAAAAGTATAGAAAAAGGTATGGGTCACACTAATGATTATCACCATATCAAACACTTATACAAAACAAATTTCTAATTTTTCAATTAGGTGAAAGGGACTTTTGGGACACAGTGTATATCGTAAATCGTGTTATAGTTCTAATTTGATATTGTTCATAATGAATTGTTGGTACATCGATCATGATATCGTAGAATCGATCGAGATCACAATTTCAAATCTGGGTTCGCTTATCAATGGAATGAGATTGTGAAAGAAAGAGAGAGAGAGAGAGAGAGAGAGAGAGAGAGA